AGAAAGAAAGAAAGAAAGAAAGAAAGGGAGGGAGGGAGGGAGGGAAGGAAGGAAGGAAGAAAGTGGAAAGAAGGAAGAAAAAGAAAGAAAGAGAAGGAGGGAGGGGAAAGGAGGAAGGAAGGAAGAGAGAGATAAGGAGGGAGGGAGGGAAGGAAGGAAAGAGGAAGGAAGGGAGAGAAAGAGGGAGGGAGAAAGGAAGAAAAAGAAAGAAAGAGGGAGAGAAGGAAGGAAGGAAAGAAAGACAAAGGAAGGAAGGAAGGAAGGAAGGAAGGAAGGAAGGAAGGAAGGAAGGAAGGAAGGAAGGAAGGAAGGAAGGAAGGAAGGAAGGAAGGGGATTTGGGGCAGAAGAAATGTTTTGACTTATCAAAGTTCAGTTTCTGGCGATGTGAGAGATGTGGCCAAACAATTTTCATGGTTTCAGAAGGGGGCGGGAAATATGTGAAGCGGGAAATAGGATGGGTTGGCAACTCTTGGGCCAAAGAAATGATATAAGTTACCTGAATTACATACATTGTCATCCCTTTCCTCTTGCATTACAGGTGGTCCTCAGCTTACGACCACCATGGAGCCCAAAATTCACGCCGCCGAGCAAAACATCCGTTAAGGGAGCTTTGCCCCATTTGAACGACTTTTTCTTTTCCTTCTTTCTCAGTGCCGCTGCGACTTTGAACGGTCGCTAAGTGAATTGTCGTAAGTCGAGGACTACCTGTAGCCTGTAAAATCGAGGCCTCGCTAATCACGTGGAACCGGGTCTGTGTTCGGTTTAGGGAGAAGAGACTTACCAGAAGTGAGAGCAGCAGCGTTCTCCTCTTCATGTAGTATTTGTGGAGCTGAGTGCCTCGATTCGTCTTCTTGGACATGCCTGAGAAAGACAAATGGTTATCCAACATCTTCTTAAAAACCTCCAGTGTTGGAGCATCCACAACTTCTGAAGGCAAGTTGTTCCACTGATTAATTGTTCTAATTATCAGAAAATTTCTCCTTAGTTCTAAGTTGCTTCTCGCCTTGATTAGTTTCCTCCCATTACTTCTAGTCCTGTCTTCAGGTGCTCTCTCTCTATATATATTAAACAGGCACATATATATATATATATATACTTTGTTCTTATTTACTATTATTTCCACTCTTTGAGGACTGTGTGTTGATCAGTAACATATAGACCAGAGTATAGAATAACAGAGTTGGCAGGGACCTTGGAGGTCTTCTAGTCCAACCCCCTGCTTAGGCAGGAAACCCTACACCACTTCAGACAAATGATGATCCAATCTCTTCTTTAAAACTTCCAGTGTTGGAGCATTTACAACTTCTGGAGGAAAGTTGTTCCACTGATTAATTGTTCTAATTGTCAGGAAATTTCTCCTTAGTTCTAAGTTGCTTCTCTCCTTGATTAGTTTCCATTCATTGCTTCTTGTCATGCCTTTAGGTGCTTTGGAGAATAGCTTGACTCCCTCTTTTTGGGGGCAGCCCCTGAGGTATTGGAAGACTGCTATCATGTCACCCCCTAGTACTTCACCAGACTAGACATAACCCAATTCTCACAACCGTTCTTTATATATTTTAGCCTCCAGTCCCCTAATCATCTTTGTTGCTCTTTTCTGCACTCTTTCGAGAGTCTCAACATCTTTTTTATAACACGGTGACCAAAACTGGATGCCGTATTTCCAAGGGTGGCCTTACAAAAGCACTATAAAGTGGTATTAACACTTTACGTGATCTTGATTCTATCCCTCTGTTGATGCAGCCCAGAACTGGGTTGGCTTTTTTGGCAGCTGCTGCACACGGCTGGCTCCTATTGAAATGATTGCGCACTAGGACTCCAAGATCTGTCTTGCCGTTACGACTATTCAGCAAGGTACCACCTATACTGTACCTGTTCGTTTGGTTTGTCTCGCCTAAATGATGGCTCTCAAGAGAAACTGCTGTGGTCTGTTTTCCACTGTGCTGGAAAGGCTCAAGGCTCCAGCTGGGGCCAGGCATTCACAGACAACGAATTTACCTGCCCCAGTTGTTGGGAGGATTAAACAGGAGTTTTAGTGGTGCTTAAAATACAGCAAGACACACCTGATTTTTTGGAGATGGTTGACATGCCGCTGGATAAAGGGTAAGTGTTGATCCATCCCTGGGTGGCTTGCTGGCGGGAACCCACTGTGATGTCAAGATTGCTCCGGGTGTCTTGGTTATCTGAAGGTTTGTTTTTTTAAAAACAAACAAACATCCCATTGGCACCAAGCCAGACAATCAATAGCAATACAACTAGCAATAGCACTTATATACTGCTTCACGGTGCTTTACGGCCTTCTCTAAGCGGTTTACAAAGTCAGCTGTCAACTCATAAAATATTTCTATGATCTTTTTGGAGTTGCCAACAGAAAGGGAGGGGGGGAAATTAGCATGGAAACCAAAAGTGCATTCCATCAATGTTTTCAGAGATAGTAACTAGGTGACTGAAGTTTCTGCCGTGCAAAATTCTAACTGAAGAGCAGGATTGATGACTCTGGGCTATGGATGTGTCCCATTGGAGAATATGAATTACAATACACGCAGGGGGTGGGGGGAAAACCAGGGTCAAGGGTGACAATGAATGATGTGCCTCAGAGTCGGCTACATCCAGGCAGTGCTGGACAGTTTAACTCCCAATAAATCCTTTTTAAGTTTTGGAAGTTTGGCTCGGGACTCATGATTTAAATGGGGGGGAACTGCTGGAATCCTGGCATCAGCCTCTTGCCCCCAACGATCTCGGTCCTCATTTTAACGACCTCAAAGCTCAAAACAACAAGGGACAAATGAGTTCCAGAGGGGTTGGGCTTAAGACTATTTGTGGGAACGTAACGATTCTAGGCTGATGACTCACTTAACTCCCCTGGCTCTGCCTGCCCTTCTCCTACTCTGTGAAACACGTACCTGGAGGCACAAGCTGGCTGGCGGTTAAATATTTCTTGTCGGAGAACATTGCAGTCCAAAACTTGATGAGGATGATGATGTCCTCGCGCAGCCGCTTCTCTCCTTGAGTTGGACACTTGGGGGCGGAGCTTCAATGAGAAGGCAAACAACATTAGGACAGGAGAGGCATTTGGGCAAGGCAATTCACACCTTGCAGGTCATCGTGCCTCAGGTGTTCTATGAATCAGCTTTGGGGCTCCCCTCATCCTTCCTCATCTGATCCCTGGGGTAACCAGAAGATTTTATATTTTTGCAGTCAAGGGTCCTATTACTATTTGGGATGGCCTTTGATTGCTTCATGATTGTTTGTAGATTCTCTGCATTTTTGTTAGGTTTAAAACATCAATCAATCAATCAATCAATCAATGAGAATAGAGCTGGAAGGGACCGTGGAGGCCCCTAAACCATTTCAGGTAGGTCACTGAAACTTTTCTGTTGCTGCTGCTTCTTTATTTTTTGCAATTTGCCAAACTTGTCTTGGTTGAATTGGACGGCTGTACAAATATTTTAAATGAAGGAATAAAATAGAACTTCCAGCTAGAGCTGCAAATCTTCTAAGCTTCGACTTGATGAACGTGCCACGATAATCTAATGTTTTCAGTCAGGATATGCATTATCTCAGTGGCTGAGATTATGTGCTGTGCTGAAACCAAATCAACCCCATTTGTGTGAAAAGATCCTTTTAACAAACACAGGGGAATCTGCCTTGGAGGGACGTGACAGAGAAGCAAGTTGTAGTCTATGAGATTTTTTTAAAAAATCCATTAGGGAGAGTTGGAAGACATGCTTAGCTGACTTTAGTTGATCAGCCAAGTCAGCCTCAGTTAGTATCTGGATGGGAGGCTAGTTTAGGAAGACTGTAGATTACGCTGGGATATTTAAAAAAAAAAAACACGCCCCACATCACCATGCAAGAAATCAGTGGCAAATCACTTCTACATCTTGCCAAGAAAACTGCAAAGATGTTAAGCCAGTACCCAAGACTTGAGCTGAGCTTGACTTCAGTTTCTCTTCACTATCTTCCACCATGGAGAAGGAGAAGGAAGGAGGGAGAAGGGGGAGAAAAGCGGGAGGAAGAAGAAGAGGAGGAGAGAGAAGGGAAAGGAGGAGGAGGTGGAGAAGGAGGACGAGGAGAAGGAAGAGAAGAAGGAGAAAGAGAAGGAGGGGAAGGAGAAGGAAGAGGAGGAAGAGTAGAAGGAGAAAGAGGAGAAGGAGGAGAAAGAAAAGGAGAAGGAGGAGAAAGGGAAAGAGAAGGAGAAGGAGGAGGAAGAGGAGGGTAATACCTGAAGTAATCAAAAGCCGTGGAATAGATTTTTTCTCTTAAGACGTTGCGAATTGTTGCGTTTGGGATGACATCGGCATGCAGCAGAGACAGCCCCAGCGTTAAGAGCCTAAAAGAGTCCAAAATAATTCCATCAGGGTCTTTAGACAGGACACTCAAAAGGGTTAAACAGGAAGAGATCTGTGCAATACAAAACGAAACGGCAGGACGACAAAAGCCATGACCCATCCCACCTTACTTCAATGAGCAAAAAGTACAAGGGGGGGAATATCAAGAGCCTCCTTTTCATTTGCTTGGAAAAACAGGGAAATCACACGGCATTAATAAATAGGGATGTTATATTTTCTTCCAAAAAATAAATAAATGAAGAGGGGACAACTGCGAGGACCTGAGAAAACCAGATCTCTGCCAATCCGACAGGTAAGCTCCAAACTAAACTCTCTTTGATATCCTTCGTGCCTGCTCCCGCCTCTGGAAAAATAAATAAACGAAGACATATCCAGGGCATCTCGCTTACTTAAAACGGGGTCCGATGGCCGCCACGTGGCGATTCATGCTCCCCTTCGATCCGCCGATATTCAAAGACAGGGAACGCTGGAGTAAGCTGGCAAAAATCTCCACCTGATCCGAACTGCAGTACTTGGCGATTTCAAACCTCTGCACCAAGAACTGTAGATAGAGAAACCAAAAGTTAAGACATCTGTCTGTCTGACAAGCCAATGTTGGCCACGAAGCTGATTTCCTGCAGGTTGGTGACGGGCCAACTCACAAGGGAATGAGGGTAGTCGATGGAGGTGAGATTCCTCAATAGCTATTAATCCAGTTTGGTTTAGTGGTTAAGGCACCAGGGCTAGCAAGCAAGGGATTGATGAGTTCTAGTCCTGCCTTAGGCACAAAAGCTGACTGGGTGACCTTGGGCCAATCACCAGGAGACAGTGAGTTCTAGTCCTGTGTTAAGCATGAAGACTGACTGGGTGATTTTGGGTGACAGATCAGGAGA